TTTAGAAGGGGAGACGATCCAGTCAGAGATTAGAAGTTTTTTCAACATGAAACGTTCCTTCCTCCTGCCCTGATAATTCAGTTCTAAGGTTTTTTGGATTGGGGGTTCTTAACAGAAGCTTTGTGGTTTTAAGGTCCTAAACATTGTGGTTTAAATCTGGTTGTTCTCTTTGGGATAAATGGTGGAAACCTATATTAGGTATGGTGTCCTCTAGTTGGCTCGATCAATTCATAGTGACAGTAAAGAACTGGTATGTATCAGAAGTCAAGCTTGATGCTCCTACACCTAGCATCTCACACACACAAACTCAGGCCCTGCAATCCCTACTCTCCTCTCGTCACCCCTCTCAGCAGGTAGGACGCTTGGGGCATAACTTAGCTAACTGCTGACCAAACAGACACTAGATTTAAATTATATTGGTACCTTCAAAGAGACCTTGGCAACAGAATTTGATCTGTAATTATTATGTATTTGTTTATTTAAATTTATGTTTGGACCAAAAAGTGCTATGACATTTTAACCTACACTTACAGAGTTAAATGTTGTTCTTTATAAGGGGTTAGAGGAAGGTGGAGTGGGGAGAGTTGGCAGGGGTGTTACGTAAAATGGCTGAGCTCTGATCTACCCCTGGTCATGTCAATTTTTTCTTAAATATTGGAATTGAAAATTTGCTACCCTAGAACTTGCAAACAGGAAACACTGCTTTCAGATCCCACCAACACTGTATTCAACATCTATGGACACAGAGCTAGTGCTGGTAAGTGTAAACATCTGACCCACCCCTTTTTTTTTTTTATTTTTCTCTTTTTGCCTTTTCAACAAAGCACAGCCTGTAAAACGAAGCGTCAGCTGTTCCTTGTAAATTGCAAAGTAGAGACACTGGCAGATGGAAAATTATTCTTGTATTCCCAGTATGCCAAATTGTTTAAAAATATGATGGTTACATCTCTCATACAATTGATACAGTAATATTACAAGTTACGGACTAATAGTTTTTCTAGTTTTGGATCTAGAGTGGGGTACGGATTTCAGACCATTGGCCAGGTTCTCTAAACTCTATATAAAAAGATTACCCCTCACTTCCTGTCTTGCTGGACAATGACTTCAGCAGACATGGCATCTGCAACAGTGGACTCAGACATAAATATGAAAGTTGTCCAAATTGTCCTAACAATCTATTTCCCATCGGTTAAAACTGAGTTTACTAGCTGTCTGACAATGCTGATCTGACCAACTATGGAAAATTCAATTAAGAGTGGGGATAATTGCTGCGTTTATTTTCTCAAACTTTCTGTGTAAAATTCTTTGTAGAATTCCGTGAAATTTTGGGAATATTATACAAAAATGCATTAGAATCAATGCAGAAGGTGAAATTATGTGTTTATTTGGGAAGTTGGGGGGGGGTCTGTGTGTTGGAAAGGTAATATATGCCTTTAAATTCTTCATGGGGGTTATGGGAAGCTCTTTTTTTTATAACTATCCTGACACTATTTTATTGTGTCAAAAATTTCCAATCTCTATTAGTTTTCATTATTTTTTAACAGACAGAGGAAAAAGTGTAATAATAACCTATAGGACACGGGTAAACAAATGATAATCATATTCCACTAGAGATTGAGCGAATTATTCAAAAATTCGATTCGGCCTTGATTCGGATTGAATTCGCCGGAGAATAAAATAATCGATTCGAGTCGAATATATTCGCTGCGGTATTTAACATGTATAAAAAGGGTGTTTTAGGGCTTCAGAGGAGCCATTATATTAGTGCAGAACACTGTAATGTACCTTTAATTTAAATGCCCTTGGAGTCTGCTGGGATAGAAGAAATAATACTGTCAGTCAGTTTATGACAGAGATGAGTGCCGTCGATCTTAGAATCACCGCACACTTCACTCATTTGGGCAGTCAGGGGCCAAAACCAGAGTGTGGAGCCACAGTAGTGGCGGTGGATGGCAGCAGCAATGGGAGGGTCCATACAGCACCCTATGACAAAATGGAACCCACCAGCAGTGTGAGGAGACCTGAAAGTGGCACATGGCAGAGTGTGGCGATGGAGACAGCAGCAATGGGAGGCCGTACAGGGACCCATGACACACTCTGGACCTGGCAGCAAGCATGAGGGATGGCGGTTACAGGGGCCCATGACAGATTACGGGCCCTGGCATTGCAGCATGTGGAGTCGGTACGGGGGCCCATGGCAGATTATGGGCAAACTGGCACAGCAGCAATGGGAGGCCATACAGCACCCTATGACAAAATGGAACCCACCAGCAGTGTGAGGAGACCTGAAAGTGGCACATGGCAGAGTGTGTAGCGATGGTGACAGCCAGCAATGGTAGGCCTGTTACAGGGACCCATTGACTCTCTCTGGACCTGTGTGGTATAGCAGATGAGAGGGAGGTGGTTCTGTGGCCCATGACAGATTACGGGCAGGTTTGTGGCAAGCCAGCATGAGGCGTCGGAAACGGGGGCCACTTGGGCTGATTACGGGACTGGCAGCAGCACATTGGGAGGCCGTTCAGGACGACATGAAATCTCACTCTTGGACCTGGCAGCAGCATGATGAGGCGGTACAAGGTGCCCATGACAGATACGGGGCCTGGCAGCAGCATGAGGAGTCGGGTAAACGGGGGGCCCATGGCAGATTAGGGCCTGGCAGCAGAATGGGAGGCCCGTAATCTGCCATTACCCTATGACAAAATGGAACCCCACCAGCAGTGTGAGGAGACCTGAAAGTGGCACATGTGGCAGAGCGTGTGGCGATGGAGACAGCAGCAATGGGAGGAGCCGTACAGGGACCCATGACACACTCTGGACCCTGGCAGCAGCATGAGGAGCGGCGCACAGGGGCCAATGACAGATTACGGGCCCTGGCAGCAGCATGAGGAGTCGGTACGGGGGCCCATGGCAGGTTACGGGCTGGCAGCACCAATGGAGAGGCCGTAATCTGCCCAGCACCCTATGACAAAATGGAACCCCACCAGCAGTGTGAGGAGAGACTCGTGAAAGTGGCACATGGGTCAGAGTGTGGCGATGGAGACAGCAGCAAATGGGAGGCCGTACAGGGGACCCATGGACACAACTCTGGGACCTGGGCAGCAGCATGAGGAGGCGGTTTACAGAGGCCCATGACAGATTAGGGGCTGGCAGCAGCATGAGGAGTCGGTTACGGTGGCAACATGACAGATTACGGGCCTGGCAGCAGCAATGGGAGGCCTGTAATCTGCCAGCACCACAATGACAAAATGGAACCCACCAGCAGTGTTGTGAGGAGGAGACTGAAAAGTGGCACATGGCAGAGTATTGTGGCGATGGAGACAGCAGCAATTGGGAGGGCAGTACAGGGACCCATGACACACTCTGGACCTGGCAGCAGCATTGAGCGAGGCCAGTACAGGGGCCCATGACAGATTTACGGGGCCCTGGCAGCATCATGAATGATGGTACGGTGGTGCCCATGGCCAATTACGTGCCTGGCAGCAGCAACGGGGAGGCCGTACAGTGGACCCATGGAACATCTGGACCTGGCAGCTGCATGAGGAGGGCAGACGGGGGCCCCATGACAGATTAGGGCTTGGCAGCTGCCTATTGAGGATGTCGGTAAGGGGGCCACATGGCAGATTACGTGCTGGCCAGCAGCAATTGGTGAGGGCCGTACAGGGGACCCATGACACACTCTGGGTCCTGGCAGCAGCATGAGGAGGCGGTACAGGGCCCATGACAGATTTACGGGCCTGGCTTAGACAGCATGAGGAGTCGGGTACGGGAGGCCCCATGGCAAGATTACGGGCCTGGCAGCAGCAATGGTGGAGGCCCGTTAATCTGCCATTACCCTACTGACAAAAACTGGAACCCACAGCAGTGTGAGGAGACTGAAAGTGGCACATGCCAGAGTTTGTGGCGATGGAGACAGCAGCAATGGGAGGCCGTACAGGGACCCATGACCACACTGTGGACCTGGCTCAGCAGCATGAGGAGGCGGGTACATGGTGCCCCATGACAGATTACGGGCCTGGCAGCAGCATGAGGAGCTCTGGTAACGGGGGGCCATGCAGTAGGGCAGGCAGCACTGCAAATGGGAGGGCCCGTAATTGCCAGCACCCCTATGACAAATTGGAACCACCAGCAGTGTGAGGAGACCTGAAAAGTGGCACATGGCAGAGTGTGGCGGAATGGAGACCAAGCACAGCAATGGGAGGCGGTACAGGGACCCATGACAATCTGGACCTGGGCTAGCAGCTGAGGAGTCGGGCTACACAGGGGCCCGACAGATTACGGGCACATGGCAGCAGCATGGAGGAGTCGGTACGGAGGGGGCCCATGGCATGATTACGGTCCTGGCCAGGCAGCAATGGGATGGCCCGAAATCTGCCAGCACCCTAGGAACAAAATGGAACCACCAGCAGTGTGAGGAGACCTGAAAGTGGCCACATAGGCAGAGCTGTGGCGATGGAGACAGCAGGCAATGGGTGGCCGTACAGGTGGACCCATGAACACACTCTGGACCTGGCAGCAGCAAAGAGGAGGCGGTTACAGGGGCCCATGGCAGAGTGGGTGAAGCGTATAGCCATCGCATTAAATTGAAGGCCAAACAGAGGCCTAATGTTAAAAATAATAACATGTTTGGGGCATGATTCATGGCGGATTTAGTCCAGTTTGTGTGTCAGGAACTGGTGGTTTGAAATATCCAGACTAATCCACACGCTCTGATTCATTTTCACAAACGTGAGTCTCTCCACACTTTGGGTGGAACAGTCCGTGTCCTCGCGGAGTTACAATACCTCCCTCTGCCGCACTAAACATGGCTCTCCGATTGCCACTCTACTGAGACCGCGGGAAATGACAGCCTTTCAAGGGCAAATTCAGCTAGTTTGGGGCCAAAGGTCAAGTTTCGTTGCCCAGTAGTCAAGGGGATTGTCTACCTCGGTTGGCAGGGTGCTGTCCAAGCTAGGCCCAAAGCCTGCCTGTTTTTTGAGGTCCTGCTCCAGGTCCACCTGATGCTGCTGCTGTGCGCGCTGGTTAGTAGTTTCTCTCACTGCCGCTGGTGAAGAAAAAGCTACTCATCATCGACTGCAGACAGAGGCTAGCCGCTGCTGGTGGAGCTGCCACTGCCCTCCACCACCCCACCCCTCCCTGCTGCAATGGCACCCGCGGAACGCGAGAGCTATCAGGCCCACAGTGTGTGAGGGTAGTGACCATTGGGCAGAAAGGCAGAGACCATAATCTGACTACATAGGTGGTTTTTATAGTACGTTATTTTGGCTCTCCTCATCCCTCTCAGCAGGTGTGAAAAAGGCCCACCATTTTTTGAACGGTAGCTGAGGGTCCAACAAGGTGGACAGCCAAAAGTCATTCCCTCTGTCTGATGGTTTATTATTCGGTCTGTCGCTAACGCAAGCAATCACGAGCATGCTATGGGCCATTTGTGCGCCAAGGAATGCGAGGGCTCCGTTGCGCTCTCCTCCATCTCCTGCGGTGCAGAGGTACTTGGGGATCATCTGTCCTCCTCCTCCTCTAACAGATGCTTCCTGCTGGCCTCCACTCCTGTGTCCGCTGAGTGGAAAAACCACCCATTTCAGCTCAATAAATTTCTTGAGACCAATGTCCTCCTCTACCTCCTCTCTTCTCTTCCTGTCCTGCCCCCACAGGGGGTCATGTGGCGAGTAGGTGGCCTAGATCTTGGGCAGGCTGCGCCATCCCACTGTGCGCACGTCTACCGCCACCCTGACCAGCGCCATTCATGTTAACAGCATTTGTTCCAGGACGTGCAACAGAGGAATGACTTCGTTCATATCCCATAGTCTCTGCCGACTCACGAATAGCGGTGGCCTCCTCAAAGGGCACTGAGCAAGCGGCCAGGTGTCACAGCATGTAGCTGGTCCTGTAGGCTGACATCTAAGTTACACAGGGGAGTACCTTTATCCGTTTGTAACATCAGGAAATCGGTGATGGCCTTTCGCTCTGTTCGTAAAGGCTGGTTCTAAAACATATGTAGGGTGAAATTGCCACCTGTTGCAACGTCACAGATCAGGCGATGGCTGTGGAATTCCGTTCTGCGCTGCAGCTCAGGAGGGTGTGCTTTGCGGTGTAAGGAATGGCTGAAATGCATGCAAAGTTTACGTGGACATTTTTAAAGGATGTCTTGCAGTGGGATGGTGGAGATTTTAGGAACCGCTTTGACAACCAGATGTGATTAGAACAGTGAGCCATGCATGGGCATGGCAATAAACCTTCCTTGACGCAAGAGCAGACACCATGTTTTTTACGTTGGTCGGTCAACATGGTTCTCCGATTTTCAGTTTGCGCAGAGACAGCCATCTGTCGATTTCTCGCTGTTCATTACACTCAGAAGTTCCTCCCTTGTGTGACTACGTTCGCCAAGGCATACCAGGTGCAGCACAAGCGTGACACCGTTGCGCCACTGCTCATGTTGATATGCCGGTGGGTAATGGGACTTGGCCACGGGGGTGTGGCGGCTGAGGACACGGCGGAAGAAGAGGTGGTAGAGGCGGACATCTTTGCTGGACCAAGGACGATGCAAACGTGGAGGCAAAAGCGGGTGACCTGTCCAAGTTGCTGGTGCGGCTGTGCCGGCACCAATTCACTCCTCAGTGGGGCTCGGATTATTTTAATGACCTCCGTTCACCAGTCCTGTCCTGACCGTAGTTACATGAGCTCCACACGTTGGCGCTGCCGTGTTGCACTTTGGCAGAGACCGACATGCTCACAAGACTGGGCCCCACATCTCTGTCTACATGGTGAATGCAGGGCTGGGCACTGCCTTTTTGGCGAAGAACCGCAGAACTGCCGGCTTGGCACTCTCCACCGCGGCTTGGGCACAAGCCCATCATTTCTCGAAGAAAAGGTGCTGAGTCCACCACTTGGAAAGGGGAGGGACTGCAGCAAGCCAGCAGGACTTGGGACAGGAGGACGTTCAGCTTCTGCACCGTCGTGGTGCGTGAGCTCGCAAACTGTTGTCTCTTGGAAATATGTACGGATTCCAAGAAAGACTGCTGACGGAATCCGTGAAGAGTAGTAGCAGGAGAAGGCCAGGCTGCATCCTGAACGAGCGGAACGATTTCCAACGAGCGACAACTCCCTCAGCAGAGGTGTTGGAGCCTTTGACTGGCTGATTGAGGGCGATTGCGACGTCGGGTGACGGAGCAAGTAACGGAGCGTGAGGTGATGGAGCGGGGGCTGGGGCAGGCAAACCCGCACGTAGTCTTTATTCACGGTTTTCCCAGGCCACCGAAAACTGGCGACGCTGCATATGCTGATGCAACGCTGTAGTCCCAACATGGGCCCCCTGGCCACGCTTGACTTTCTGGCCACATAGTCGACATACGGCTACGTTTACTTCCTCGGCAGTCTCGCGGACTTGACGAAAAATTGCCACACCGCCGAGTAGGAAACTTTGCCCCCACCGCTACTCCTCACTGGCTGACTGCTACTTCCTCCGTGCACACCGGCACCACTACTGGCCGTGGTGGTAGGCTGCAGTGGAGCTGGTGCTCTACTCCGTGGCCGTTTGCCTCCACTGACACTGCTGCGACCCTGCTGCTGTCTCCTGGGCAACCCACCGACTGTTTTGCTCGCTGCCAAGCTGGCACCCTCTTCTCCTGATGATGCGGAAGAAATAGCCTGATGACGACGAGGCCTGCCAAGTGCGATCAGCCTCATCATCATCAATTAGGGTCTCCGCCTCACTACTAGCCCCCTCGGCTGCGTGTGGGTCAGGAGACAGACCTGTCTCTAGACCGGCTAACCGAGCCACTCTCCTCGCCATGTTATACTTCTTCGCCTGGCTGCTGAAGAGGCGGATGTCTCCCCCGTTCCTGACCGCCCTCTGTTAGCTCTTCCTCACTGTACAGTGGGGGGCTGAGCCCACAGCATGCGATACTTCGCTTGGTGAGGGAACACCAAAGGACAGGGGCAGGTAGAGGACACGTGATTTCAGTGGCTTGCTCCCGGCCATGCCAACTAACGGTTGTGTCTGACGTACACACCGTTTGCCGTTGGCTGGTAGGTGTCAGAGGTGACCTGGGAAGAGGAAGACACCGAGCCAACCAATCTATGACGGCATGGTTGTCGGTGGAGACACACCGTGGATGACACCGGGTGAGCACTGGCCTCTGGCTGCGACTAGTGCTGCCTCGACCCCTTCCTCTGCTGCCACGTCTGCTCGGCTCCTATAAACCATGGCCCTCTCTCTTGACACTCCTCCGGTTGTTTGTCGACATACCTCTTTATTCAACGACTCTGAGTCCCTGAGTATCGTATCTGTAGTCGCCTGAGTAACACATTCGTAGTGTCCCCTGAATAACAATTTTGTGTCCTAAAGACATTGCCTCCTCAATTTGTGTCCTCCTTAACAATTCTGTGTCTGATCATGAGTAACAGTGTCTGTGTCCTGCGTACCAATTCTGTTCAAGATTAAAAGGATATTGTGTACTGGAGTAACAATTTTCTTGTGTCCCTGAGTAAACAATTTGAGTGAATCCTGCCGAACCCCCCAATACTGTGAGATCCTCTTAAACACAACTTTGCGACCCATCACTACACTCTAATGTTAGACCCTGAGCGTACCATATACTTATTACCACTAATATTGCCCCCATCTTAGTACTCCGTCACAAATTTTATAATTTAAGCTTACTAAAAACATAGACAGCTACCCCATATCTTATAATCTACCTCACTAACGTTATTACATGCTACCCCCCCAACTTGAGAAAGTTTCTACCTACTACATAAAGATCGTTCCTGAGTAACCAAAACTGTGTACAATGAACGAATCTACCCATAACATATACCCATAATACCCCCACATGTTACCCACCTACACCTAATAGAACGACCGAACCACAATACAATATGGCTATCTCTACACCTAATGTTTTGTACCCTTCTAACAGAACCACTATACTTATACCCCTTATTAACCAAATACTGAGGATTTCCTGGTTAGTAACAAATTATAGAGTTCCTCGTACAACTTCTGTGGACCCCTCGAGTCACGAAATCGGGATGTCCTCTCAGTAACCAACTATTGTTTTTGTCCCTGAGTAAACCATATCTGTGTCTGTTACCAGTGTTTTCTGTGAGAGTAGACAGTTTCTGTGGTCCTGAGCTAAAAGTTCTGTGACCCTCATTAAACACTTCTGTGTTCGCCGCTCTCAGTTAAACAATTTTGTGTCCTCCTCAGTAAAATTCTAGATGTATGTCCCTGAGACAGAGCGGTTTTTGTGCATCTGGCTGGTGGGTTTATTTGTTCAGCCTGGAGTAACAAGTTAATGATTTTAGTCCTGGCTTGAAGTTTGTGTTCCCTGTGTATCTGATCTGCTCGTCCCTGTGTCTCATTTTTGTGTCTTGAGTTAACAAGTTCTGGTCCCCGATAACAATTCTGTGTC